AGTAGTAGCGAGGGAAGCAGTAGCACTGTTGGAAGGAGATTCACTTTCCCGTTTGCCGTAGGTGTGCATTCCGAGACTCCTCACCCACTCAAACATGCTACGCAACGTAAGTTATGGAAAAATCAGACCTATCAGCACTGTTTAACCTTCTGGCATCGCAAATTAATGTAAATGAGTATAAATAACAAGCAAGCTTCTCTTTTCAGAGATGTAAACCCAAAACTGCTTAAAAAGAACGAATGGCGGTTTGCCGTAGTGACGATGCGGAAGCAGATGCCTTAGAGCTCACCAAAGATGCGGTAAGGAGCCACCGGATAGGAGTGTGTTTCATCAAAATTAACAAAGAACATATGGTAAAACAGCGAAGTCGTCAACTACTTCACCACAACGGTTGATCGTCCAGACATCTTTTTTTTTTTAACAAAAGTTACCGTGTAGCTCCTTCGTCTAGTGTTTTGCCTGCACCTTACGAGTTCACTAACTCTTCCATAAACAAATTGAAAAGAACCACTTTTCGCCGGAAAAGGATACGAATTGTCCTCGACTTCGTGCTGTACAATGTGTTGAAATATGTATGCCTTCTTGAATTCGTCGATTTGGCCCTAAAGCTAGCATAAAGAAGAGACTTTAAACATAGCCTACCCTATACCTCTCCCAGTCAATGGATTGATGACTTCCGTCGGCGCAAAATCGTTCATTGTAACGGGCGTAGCTAACCTGGTCAAGCAGCAGCCCCAAGCCCGGCGCCTTCGGTATATCCGTCTGTAATCAAAGTAATAAAATTCTAGCGTTAAGTTCAGCATACTTGGTTGACTCAGGAAGCTACCGAACTCACCCTTTCAGTCCTGAATGCATTCTCAAATACAGCCTCAGTTGCACGACCCTTCACAATGGCGATAACTAGACCTATCATTTTTCTGATTTGATGGAGCATAAACGACTGTCCCTGGACGGTTATAATTGCGAATTCACGGTCTCCATCAAGCAAAAACGGCGGACTACATTCAATTGACATAATGTAGCGCATACAGCTTTTATCATCGGGCGTTCTAATGAGAGAGCAAGGTGGTAACAAGCTGACAAAGAAAAATTACCTCCTGGAAGTAAAATTGAAAAAATTGTGGGTGCCTTTGTAACGCCGCAGCAGCTCGTTTACGCGAGTTAAAGATTCCGCCGAAAGACGGTACCTCCAACAATTTTCCAGCGTTATATTGTCTCCTGAAGCGAAAGAGAAAGACGGCAGGAGGTACTGGTAGACACGATGGTTGCAGACAGTCTTTGGGTTGAACTTCTTTGTTACGCGGAAAACATCTAGTGGGGGTCTTGTTGAAAGTGAGCACTTGTCAACCAACCTAGTATTCGAATTTGGTTTGAGAGATGCGAATTTATTTTGTCGACGGATAAAATATCAATTGGCAACTTTGCAGCACAAACCTGACCAGCAGCAGACACATTCTTATCGGTTTTTGAAGCACGTTGGAAATTAATCTGATTGATAAGGGCAATATTAAGAAAGTGGACAGGAAATAACAATCACACAAAGTGTTGTAGCTAACCATCGACGGGTTTTTCATATGTTCTTCCAAAATATACCCAGCCTTGTAGAGTGCCAATAATAATTCACCTTCTATAGTCCGAAACCCTTCGTTTCTACAGAAGTCGAAACACAGTCTCAAGTTCGAGCATTTCATAAAAAAACTTCGGAAAACGTTCCTCACCTTTGCATTCCACAATAGCCCGTACCTGAATACATCAGAAGTATTGCACACTTACGATACCCGTGTGCACCAACACTCATTACCTGATCAGACCTGGGAAGCTTTGTACCGTGGGGGAACTCAGTGTCGGGGTCCTGTTGTCGTTTCATCACACATATAAGGTGTTTGGCTTTCCTAAATGACTGTGACAGAATGCTTAAAAGATTCCGGACTGCCAATGACATAAATCCCTTAGTCACGCAGGCCTAGCTCCTTTTCACGTTTTTCCTTTTCTAATAGTGCTTCAGCGTACTCTTTTCGCTGAAGTTTGTAAGTCTTGTTACCAAAGAGGTAGTGAGAGCCAAGTTTGTAAAATATATAACCGGTTAGTCCAATTCCGCCGAGACACGATGCAAGAACGAATGATTTGAAGGTTATATCACGTATTCGATAGGAAAAGCTGAGACGATAAGCACGAGAATGACCTGGCATAATAACAGCGATATCGCACACCGCCCCCTTAACCGTTGACCAGTAACTTCGTTAGCTGAATATGATCAATTGTAATTTACGAGAACCGAAATTAATAACCCATTTATTACCGTAATACCAAATACAAAACCAGCGATTCCTGCAAATCAGAATTTCACAATTTGAATCAATACAAAGGTCTATATCCATGTCAAAATCTTTCGATTGAAATTTTAAACCAAAAAATACCTTTCGAATCAACTTTAATTCAAATTATTGAATTGTAAATTAATGTGTGAAGGAGTCTTGAAAATCAGAGCGTAACAAATCCAAGCAAGTCACAAAGTATCAAGCATTTGATATTATACGATCCTCAGTATTCTCTTTTAGTTCCGGCATTTTCTTAATTAACTATGTAGGATCCACCTGTCTACCTTCATACTCTTGTGACCCCGAACTTCAAGAAAGGATTAGTCGCTGTAGATATATTAGACATTGAATACAGGAAGAACGTAGATGGGCGTATAGATGAATCGAATAGCAGATATCACCCGGAGAGGGATCCCTTACGGTCCTTACGCACGGGATTCACCTTCCAATTTCGGTTCTCACCTCTCTCCTATTAAGGTTAACTTAAACACTAGTATCTAATGCTGGTTGTACAGTGTACCGAAAAGTCCGTTTCAACGACCGAATTAGACACCAAAGTGCAGCGTACTAAGACTTCCCATTTGATTAAGGAAGGCGTAAGGCCTGGTTTAATGCCTGTATTACGCAGGAACCATGAAAGTGGGACCCTGGCATGACCCAAAGTCCAGCTCACTCGGCCGTAGCGATATAACTGCCAAAGTGACCAAAATTCATGCAGACAGTCAAAAATGCAAGCATTCTAATTAAAGCTTACTTGCCCACGTAGTTAGCCTAATTTAAAATTACTGATATGTATTAAGGTTTCACTCTCCGTCTTTTTCGCGTAATGTATGTATTTTATTTAAATGCTACGAACTCTCTTGCCTATAAAGCATTATTGAGACTCTGCCACCGCTTATTCTGTTGTTGGTGCCTCCCCCGCAGAGCACGAGAATTTGTTGGGATTGGCATCACTTTATTTCTATGTTGGGAGTATTTACTGGTTTTGCTCATCTGCAGATTATGTACTTCTTCCATCCCACCAAGGCACACCCTTCAATATTAGAAATCAGTATAGAATTGAGTTTCCACTACAACCAACATTGTACTATAAGGCTTTTTGGTAAGGAAGACAGAATACGCGCATTTAAACACACTGGAGGTACCAAGAAGGCTACTAACATGTCTTTAAGACCAATTAATGTGGCGAAGGTATGACAGCGAAGGTGCAAGGTAAAGTCTTACCAAGTTTGAGTGCTAAACATAAATTGATGCATTACAATGCAGTAGCACTAAATTGTCACAAAGGGCTACTAGGCTGTAAGACGCTATGGTAACATGGAGGACTGTAAACTGATGACGTTTGGGAGTAGCACAAAGATACTGCTACGACCTGAGGGTCAATTCATTGGACGTTTGTATATGACGTGAACGCAAGCACCTTTAAAGTCAAAATGCGTGCATTACAAACGGTTCAACATATTGTAAGCTTATTACAAAATTTTAAAAGGATCCCACATCTCCCATCTTTGTTTATCCAGATGGAATCATAGTGCTGAGGTTTAGAAGACGTCTCATCTTGTGTTCGGTTTGTCCTTTGCCTTTGTGCCACTAAGCACGCGGGAAGCGCTAAACGCACCCAATCGTCGGAATGTGAAACCCAGAATTATCACCTCGAGTTACACAGTTCGCCCATTACCCACCCATAGACACTCCTGAAAAAACACTTCATCGGAGAGAAACCTGTAAAAATCAGCTAGACAGGAAACAGTCCCAACTGAAGACACAGCAGATCTACAGAGCAGAAAAGTAAACTTAATTTACGTGAAATCACGACTGAAAATTCTCAACACAAAGAAAGTCGGGCTACTGCCACACAGGAACTCCCACTTCGACACCCATGAAGTATTTCAGCCTTCCAATAGAACTCAGACACGAATAGGAAAATATGGTTCCGTTTATTTTCAAATGTTCATCAACAATTCTGTCTGGTAATTATGGCCACAATCAAAGATGGCAAACGGAGAATGCATGGAAAAACAAGGAAAGGCTAATCGAAAACTCAGCTAATCTGCCCTCCAAGCATGGAGTACCGATCAACATTGGAGAGAGGCTGTTTGACAGACGCCTCAGCAGCTATGGCTGCTGTCTTTTCATCTTCAGCTGAGGAAGAGGAAGGCAATGCCTGTGATGTATCCTTCATCATCTCTTCTGCTTTAGAAGCCGTGGGATTCGCCACCGTCACTACTGCCTTCCCCTTCTTCGTCTCCATAGCAGCTACCTCCTCATCAGAAAGAAGATCTGCATACGCCGCATCTTCCAGATGCGCAGTCTCATCATTGAGGATGGAGCTTAACTGCTCCAAGATCAATAAGCTCGAGGTCTCAGTCTCAGTGTGCAGTCGGCGACGTGAAGCGAAACGTACGTGCTTTTCTGCAATTCCCCCCATAGTCGCTGCTCCTTCACTGCTACTTGGAGCGGTTGGTGGTTGTACTGATTGCTCTTGCTGTTGTGGAAAGATCAATGGGATATCGTCTACACTAAAACACCGTCGGTTGCAGTGACTACGATTAATTTGAGATGGAAACCGTCTGCAGCAGGGCAAATTCTTCCAAGACAAAGTGGATAACGGAGCAAGAGAGGAATCTAAGCTATGGAGGTGGTTTTGTCTTTGTTGTTGATGCTGGATGAGGGCTGGTTCATAAAATGGTGAGGTGGGGAAGAAGGAGTTGCTACTCCAGGGCGACAGATCTATTTGACTAGGAAAATCCAGTGTGCCTGCTCGTTCGGGTGAGGTAAGGACGGAGGTCAGTTCTGAAAAATGCAAAAATAGAAATCGAAATAAGCAAATATTCTGGTCAGACCATGAGGATCTAGCTCATGGTAGCATGAAATAGTGAAGATAAAAGTGTAAAAAACGAATTTATAGGTTGTCGATTAATAAACTACCAAAAATATTAATTGTCAACAGATCTTGGAGTTGAGAAAAGAGATAGAACGCATATAAACCCAGAAATTGGTAGCAGATAAGGGTAACGGAGTATGGCAGTGTACGGCGTACGATCAGTCCTCCTATGAGAGATATGCATATCATCATCGTCCACGAGGAAGTGTCGAAAACGCGCCTCGATGTCTAGCAGTGGCGCCTTCAAAAGGCTCCTCTGTCTTAACCAACCTGGGGATGTGTCAGTGGAGAAGCTATGAAGCGAACAAAAGTCCTCTTCTACATCGTCCGCAATGTTGGCTTCTTCACTGTCACCATCAGTAGGGGTGGTGATAGCAGTGGCTGGAGAGAGATATTTAGGCAGAACGATAGGAGGAACGCAGGCCGTGTCGCTATGGGACCGACGTGGCGGCAGCTGCGGCATTGCCAATTGGCCCTCATCCCGCGTTGGTTGATCATAGCCGGTGTAAGGAGGATAAAAGATGGTCGTCTTGCGCTTAACCTCCACTTCTTCGGTGCCTCCAACGGCTGTGATTCCAGTGTTAGATGCAGCGGCGGTAGTGGAGGTCTTGGTCAGAATAGGTGAAACACCGGTCGTGGTTGGTGCCATTGCTGCCTCTTTGGCTAGCTTAGAGGTCATCAGTTGAGTGTAGGCCTGCACATGGGCGTAGGCGCGGTTCAGCAAAATGATGTGAACCAGTACTTTGAGCACAAATAGCCTGTGAAAATCAAAAGGCAGTGAAGAAAATAATTGTGAAAGATTGCAGACTACGAATCTCCCAATGAATCCAACGTAGTGTGGTTGTGAATGAATGGATAACGCAATTTCTGGCTCAAAAAGGAAAAAATAACGAAACTTTAGCTTACAAAGGCAGAGCGAGGAGAAGAAAGATGTAGATTAACGAGGATTTGACGGTCTGAATAATCATCACGTTGATAAGGCAGCTTAGTGATAACGGCGTGAGGCCCATACGTCGAGCGAGGAGTTCAAAATAATCGGAGGTATTCTGTTAAACAGGCAACGATGAATGATGCAGTAAGGTGCTAAATTGACTACTTCAATGAAAAAAGGCAACTTGATGGTTAATGACCGCATTTTCGAGTATGCCAAAAAATAAGTAATTGAAGTTTTCAGGGTTGCAAAGGTATAGAATCTCGTAACAAATGGCCAGATTACAACAGTTATCCTCCTTGAATGTCCTATTAACCATTATGTGTTGGAAACGAGGATACAGTAACTAGGGGAAAGCGGATAGCCACTGTCAAAATAGGTACTGATAACCAACGCTGATGTGTCTAGTGCGTAAGAGCAAAAATGCACAAGTCCAAATCTCCTTGGAACTGGTATCTGCCGAATTTCCCCCAACTGAAAGGGAAGTTTGGTGCTAAAAAACTTACAATTGGACTGCAAACTTTTGCTAAATTAATAGATGATAGACAAAATAGGTGGGGGACACCAACCAACCTTGCCCTGTCGACATAGCAGAAGATCGTATGCAATGCTCACTGTATACTCTTCGTACACCTGAGAAGGAAGAGATGGTTAAATACTCAGCGGTCAACAGAACATTATAGTAAAAAAAGCATTTTGAAGGTGAATTTCGGACGCTGCAATCCTTCTAAAAAGCAGTCAGTTTCTTATGCAGTGCTGTTTTAACCAGTATGCAAACCACTTTGAATTTGGCGACGTATTTTGCATAGGCAGCATAAAATCAAGTACGTAAAGCTAAATCTTCTGCGAATGAAATACCGGACTGTATAACAAAGAATCATGTTGTTAGATTTGTACAGCCTCGCAGAAGTAGAAATCATGGGTCGACCATAGCCCATTTGTTTTTTAGTGCAGTCCTAATTTGCATGAGGTACTACTGACCAATGTGACTTGGATTCCGCTTATTGAGACCGTGTTAATATGATTCGCTGATGAGGCTCCTAGTTGATCAGATTTACAGCTAAGCACTAAGCGCCTCAAGCTTTGGCACGCTCGACAGTGAAATCTTGGAGCAAAATTAATCACTACATACAGCCAAAGTGTGTCTGGCTTAAGGCTAAAATAGGAGTTGCTTTTGAACCAGACATACCCAGTAGCTATTTTGGCATCAACTCAATAAATCGTGCAAGTATTTGCCGCTAATATGAAACGCATTCAAAACCAAGCATTTCAGAAATCAACTTGTGACGAATTCCTGCTTAAACAAAATATAGCCGACCTTGTGATCCATGCTGGCATAAAAGATGAATCGCATAAAGACACCAGCCGACTGATAAAAGAGGAGATGTTACTCACATCGGAGGCAATGACGTTGAACTTAGAGATAAAAGCGTGCTTTATCCAATCAACAGCGACTTCAGCCAAAAGAATTAGCAGGATATCGGGTAGGAGAGACAGGAAGTCGTCTGAAAGTGAATAAAATCATCACACAACAGCATCGAGTCCGCCACGTGTCACTTGACTGTGATGCTTCTACAATTGACCAAAACCCGTTTTGTGACGAAACTATACCCTGGATCGGTTAGGATCGAGCTTCCAATAGGGTTCGATTCTACACTTCAGGCCGCATTGATTGAACTTTGCGGAAAGTACACTTCTGTACATTTCATGTCAGCAATACAGTGCCATGTATTTCAATGGAAAAATGACCTTACTTTTTTTCAAAAATAAGACTACTTTAGCACAGAGAAGACTGGAACAATTCTACCTATTGCATCATTTTAATCGAAAGAGAAGATATTATCAGAATGACAGCTGTGCCATCCTCAATGCTCTTTTGCACACATTTTAACATACATGAAAACAGGTCTCAGGCATCGTTCTGGTGGAGCAAACGATTGCGATTCGCACAATACATTCATGCAATCAATATAATAAAATGTGATCAGAGGAATTTGGAAAACGAAGAGAAGTCCATAGCCTACTAAAATGGCAAACCTAGGGCATCGGTGGAGAAGTACAGGAGAAAGTAATTAAAGAGCAAACCCAAGAAAAATCTAACTCAAAATAAATGGTACGTCAAAAGTTTTGCATTGCATCACAAAGGCCTAATCCATGAAATGCTTCACTTACATGCACCGTAGTTATTTAAAATTGGCTTGATTGGATATGAATTCAAGAATTTTCGAAAGCATAGGGACACAATTAGTTCCATCTCATCACTTCCTACTGACGAACCTAAACCCTTCCCCATCGGATCGTAAACAACTTCAACCACTCATATCTCGATATCTTTCATTTTATTAACCACAATTATGAAGCCAATGCACAAGTTTCCTGAGTGAACGCATGCAAAACCTTATGAGCACCCTCTCTCATTTGAATATGTGACGGTTTGCTTAGGCAAAAACTCACAATGAACGTTAGTGTTTACTATAAATGGTAATTACTCACCGTACTGCCAGCCACTGGCAGACATGTTGCGGCAGACGATGATGAAAAGCCAGACGGCGTAGTGAAAACGCTCACGCACATCGGCGCAAGCAATCTGGAACAAATTCGACTTCCCCATCTTGCGAAATACGTTGCCCTTCAATTCAACAAACTGCAACGATGAAAACAAAGAGCTACATGAACATCTACTTAGTTAAAACCTCAGCCATAAGTCGATGGCACCAAACTAGCATGATGGACACAGGTTAATTCTACGAGAAGCTACGAAATCCTGAATGTTGGGAAAATTAGCGCTATGAAATGAAATTCATCAAAAGCACGGATTAAGCCTTTGGCATAAACCAGAAAGTGCAATAGCTTTCAATTTTTCAGCCATAATTAATCGTGTGAAATTAGAAAATTTGCGGAAAATACATGCGAAAGCCAACAACGATAAGGCACAACTTGAAGCATAGTCACTCAGTACGGATGTGTGTGTGTGATTAAACTTTTCATGTCACGAAAATGCGCCAAAAGCTTGAGGGTGGCCAACTGGCAAGTCAAGTATGAACAAAGTAAGGTGGAGAAGGGACAAACTAAGTCCTCAGAAATGTGATGAGATTCGTCAAACTGACACCCTGCATAGACAAATAATTCGGCTTGATCCTAAGGTTTCAATCGAGCAATTCGCTTTAGGATGAATCATCAACCCAAGGACGTATGGCAAAGTTGTGGACAACCAAAACCTAACCGAGCAACAAGCCAACACAAAAATTCACACAATTTTCGTTGTCTCAGTGCAATGTAATGTATGAACGTTTTCAACTCCGCCCAGTTGTCACCACACATACCCATGTACAGCATGAAGGTGCTTTCGTCGACCATGTTGGTAGAACGTGCTCTACTGTGGTCCTCCACTACCTCATGCCTCAAATTTATCTCGCGTCACCAACTGTAGGCTAAACGTACATCAAGCATGTGATTTGAGTTCGTCTGTTCTACAAAGTGAGTTTACTGCCACGGTGGCAAATTCTTCCCAATACGCGCACAATAGGATTCGGAGAAGGTGCGATGTATGAAGAAAAAAGAACCCCACAGAAGCGGTGACAAATCACTGGGGGAGTTGTATTAGGTTTAGGACAACTTCCTACTCCAAAAAAAGAGAACGTAAGAGTTGTTAGCATCGCAGTAGGTTATGAAGGAGGATGCTGTCCATCCTCACCACCTTATACATTTTGCCAATGCTACTTATTCAGGCAATACTAATTACAAGATCAAATGTGAAATCAAATGGACGGTTGCCGAATAGAGGTGAGGCAAAATAGAAGTTACTGAGATGTAATTCCTTAGTCTTAACGAAAAGACCATTTAACGTCCAGAATGAGAAAACGAGTCACTTTGAACGATTTTCGCCAATAACATGAGTCTCAGCAAAAAACATTACAACTGTGAGTGCAGCCGAATTTCAAGTATAACAAGAGTAATACCTCTTTCCCAAAATAAGACTTGCACAACACAACCATTTCCCTTCTTCCGACAACATTTAAGGTCGAATGTTATGGTGTTTGCCTAAACGAAGCGATACGCGTTAAACCAGTTGGTCGAATGCACTACCTAAAAACCAAGTCGTCGGTTTTAACTTCACTGAAGTGAAGTCACTTGCTCCAAAACAAGGCAGAACTGCATCTACTAATGCTTCTAATGCCTCAAATTTATCATCAAGATCCAAAACTGTTCCGTATGAAACACTTCAAGGTGCCACTATTTGCTCCAACGCACAAAGTGAGTG